AAAACATAAATCTTTAATGCCCAGCAGCCATTATAGCAGTGGAAAGCAAAGATTTAAATGGAAAAAAAAAAGCTGAGTTAAGAGAATTCAAAACCAACATTTCAGGAAACTTTTTTACTAATTCACTTCAAATAGTTCAAGAATATTTTGTGCTCCCACATTTGAAACCATTTTTCAATCATCCATCACAACAGATCACTATCAGAAATGAATAAGCAAATTTTGGACTGTAGCTACTGTGCACGGACATATACGCAATGTAGCTGTGAAGTCACTGAAAATAATAATATAATAAAGCATCATAACTAGAATTTTAAAGATCTTCTCAAAAGAAAAAAAGGCAAAATAGATGAATGTGTGAGTGTGCTGTCAAATCTTGGCCACATGACAACTTTATAGTCCTAATTCTGATTTTCCCCATTATGTACTTTTTTCAAAGAATATATACTGTCTGATCAACTTTAACTCTACTGAACTCTAAACATAGCTATTACTACTCAGACCGAAATCTTATTATATATAGTAGACAAAATTCTTTATAGTTTTTTTAGAACATATCAAATATTAAAATACTTAAAAACAAGCTATAATTTCTTGTAAAGGCACTGATACATGGATTACTGTCAAAAAAGAATATGTTTCAAATAATGTGAAGTTTTCAGTGAATGCAAAAAAAATGACTCTAGGTGTAAAGTAGTATGTGAGAAGGAAACAAAGATAGCATATTTCTGTCTAATACAGTCTTTAAAATTCAATTTTCTCCTTCCAACTCTTGAAACCATCACACCATCATGGAGGAGGCACCAACAAATTATACAGAGCGACATAGCCTTGTGAGGGCAAAAGAAACTAACCAAGCCACATTATGGGGTCCTACACATGTGTTCCAAAAGTCACCAAAATAGAAGAGCTTTAAAAAATTCAGTGCTATTTTTAACATAATACCCACCAATGCATACATCACATAAATACTAAGTGATACTAAAACTGAATTTTAGGGATGACACTTGATACTTAGATAACTTGGCTTATGGTTAAGTTTTATAAGCATCTTTGTTATGAAAAATCCTAAAAATAACATATGAAGGTATTACCCCAAAAATGGAAGAAAAAAGCTAGAACTTCTCACGTTATTAACACTTACTAGCATTTCTTCTCATCCATATTCATGAATAGTGGAGGGAAAAGAATTTCTACCCAAATACACCTTTGCTACCCCAAATGTCAACAAAGCTTTATAAACCCCGTAAACCCAAACCACCCCACTCCCTTTGCTGTGGGATGATCAGCACCTGTCTCTTTCAGGTGAGTAGCCACTGGCAAGTCAGATTCTTAAATGACAGAGCATATCCTAGAACTTCTGTTTTCCTCCCTATAATCCTATTTTTAACTGTTAAAATATAACAAAAACTCATTGTTTAAAGTCGTTTGACTTTTCTGCATTATTTTGTTTTCAGACCTTTTTATAATTACCATGACCACTGACAGAGATGTCTGCAAAGTTCTGAAAATCTTTCTACCCGACGATCGTGACAAAAGGCACAAGCCCAAGTTCTAACAGCAGCGGATGGAGAGATTGCTGCTGCTGCTGCTCCTGACTGAGGCTCCATGAGCCCAAAGCTTCTTTGCAGCACCTTTTAGACTGATGAAAACTAGGCAAAGACACCAATTTCCTTTAGGCAAGACAATGTTTACATTAAAATCATTTCACATATTCAGAAACTTAGGATCAACCCACAAAACTTTCTTCTTTTTATGTGCATATGTTCACACTAAAAGATTTACTTTATCTTTGAAAGTGGGGTAGGAACTTTATAATGTGCCATTTTATTTCCCAGGAATGCTTGATCTTCTAATACCTAACCCAAACAAATTCAGAGCAGAGTGGTCAATAAGATTTCATAGCTTACAATGTGCAGGATTCTCTTTCTAGCTATCAACTTTCTATAGATTATGAATGAAACTGTTAAAACCTGGCTTTTCTTCCTTAGCTAGCATTAGCTATAGAACGAAAAGGATGAACTAGATCTCTAAATTCTTTTCCACTCCAAGCCTTTGTAATTCTACAGCTTTGACTGTGGTGCTTCGTAGTCTTTGGCTTAAAACATAAATAATAATAAAAAGGACAAAATGATTAAATACTGAATTCACTTGGCTACAAATTTTGTCCCTGTTCTTTGAATTCCTTCAAAAATACCTCAACATGAACCATTATCTCCTCAGTGACTCGTGGGGATACCACCATACATCACTTCTCTCATGTTTCCTGAGCAGTACAATTCCAAAAGAATCTGTTTTCTTCTATTTAGGTCCCTAAACCAAAATCATGATAACTAATATAGTAGTAGATATAAGCAATTATTGCAAAAATTACAAATAGCTTGATAGAAGAAAGCCTGATTTCTATCATATATGTAATTGTTCTACTCAAAGAAAGCAATATATACAAAATTATATGTAATGAAAATGCTGTATGCATAGGAAGGGGAAGTTTTAAATGTGTAAGTAATGAAGACAACAGTTATTGCACGAAGCACAAAAATTCTTGAGGAACACTGTGAAAATACCCACACTAATAGCGTTAAATGTACTCTTTAGAATTGCAAAGTTAACAGATTTAGAACATAAACTACAAATACAATTTTTGCAAGGATATATCAAAAGTCCTTCTTAAGTTTATAAAACAGGAACTATAAAGACGGTTCTTGGCATTTTTACCACCCATTCTTACACTATCCTTTTTTTTAAATTGCAGAACTACTGCTCAAGGTGCCATAGAAAGAGTTGTGGTGAGAAGGTAAAAGGCAGAGGAGCCATCAGATGGCTCTGTGACCATCAACCCCCGAAACCTCAGCTTTGAGAGATATTATCTGTGATCACATACACAAGTTGAAGACAGTACATTATACTTTTTTACCATTGCTGACTCCAAAAGGATTTAGGCTTGCAAAACATGAATTTTCAAAGATTATTCTTTTATGGAAAAAACCATCACCATTTTACTGTCCCTTCTAAAAAAGCAAGGAGATGTTTTGTTTAGAAATGTGAATGGTTTGATTTTTACATTGCAAAAATGTAATGTAACTTTTAGCCAGCATTATAGAAGCACATTCATAAAAACTTCTTTTAAAAAAGAGAGATTAGAATTTTTTTGAGTGTGCAAAAACACTGTTACTTTCAAGATTGCTTTGAACTGAAAACGCATCTCCAGAATTAAATTTCAAACTAAAAGTAGAAAATTTTCTTTCAATCACAGCTCACAGTAATTTTAATGCCATCTACAGTTCATTATCAAAACAAGTTTAAAATCTGTAAACTCAATTTACTAAAGTTAAAATTTTCATTTGGCATTACTTGTTAAAAGTAGTAGTCTGATGTGAAATTAAGCAATGGCTTTAATTTTGTTTTGATACTCAACATTTCTAGGAAAGACTTAAGCAAGTACTAGATAACACAGAAACAAGAGACTCTAATTTTTTTGACTGGAGAATCTCATATACTGGATTTTAATTAATGTATGTACGTGCACTGGTTTTAACTCTTAACATTTTATAAACGAGCTAAGCGGTAAGTAACAATGGGAAGAAGCTGCTGCTACTTATTAAATCAAATTTTACATGTGCTGATATCAAAAAAGGCAATCTAAAAGAAACTTTAGAGCCCTCAGATGGTAGCTTCTTGACCAATGAATGGTTTATCATGTTCAGTTCAGATAAGCTTAAAAATGGAAATGGGAAACTCAATCAAAGAGTTAAGAGCTTCTAGATATTTAATTACCAAATAAAAAGTTTTTCAAAATATTTCCCACTACCTTTTTTTGACCCTGAAGAAGGTTAAGAATAGAAAGATACTCTATAAAGAAGTGTAATAACTAATACTCTCTAGCATTAAAACGAGATACGGGAACAACTGCTTAAGGTCTTCCTTTTTCCTGTACAAATCCAAGTATGATAGCTTCTCTCAGCTTTCCATTTTTAGAACATTCTTAGAACAGAATGCCCCTTATCTGAACTTTATCAGATCATGGTGGAAATCTATTTTTTCAGACAAATTTAAAATGTGAAATTTAAATTCCTTTAAATATAAATTACTTTAAAGACAGGGAAGCGCCATTCATATTCATTCATTCAGAAAGATGAGCCCCCCAAACAAAACACTTTTTCTGATAAGAGATAGTTCTCCAATATGAGTAGCACAACTATAAGATTTACTTCCAATCTAAAGCATTAGACTTCATGCTACACAATTATCTTTCATATTTTATATCATAGGATTATAATAAAAATAGGTTTTGGAGGAGCTGTAGTTAAGAATATAATTAAGAGTATGTTAACGGTCTTTTAGATGAAAAATAAGTAGTAAGATTTCAGTTGTGCGTGCACGTATATATAAAGGTGTTTGTATTTTAAAAAGCAAATTTAGCATGCTGAAGTTTCCTGGGTGATAATCTCATAAATTCTGGTGGAAATGACAACAGCATTAGGTTAACTGCATAGAGATCTCATAGGTTTGAAGTTTTTAAAATATAATATCAGAAAATGCTATCTCTCTCAAATTGGCTCAAAGAGTAGTAAGAGAAAAAGCAACTATTGATGGTTTATTCACACCAACTGCTTTCCATGCCAAGGGTACATCTAGTCCTAGTCAATGAACAATTTTTAAATTGCCATCAATAATTGATATTCTAGTCTAGCTTTGGTAAACTGAGCCTCCAAATTAGTGAAGAGTCAAAGCCAATTTCTTTTCGTAAGATGATAATGTGTTTTGAAGATATGTACATGTTCAAGGTATGACCTTTAAGTACAATTCTTCAAATCCAGGATATCTGCTGAACACAGAAGCGGTTGCTAGAGCTTACCAGTTACTATACCATCAGCAGTTAAAAATAAAAACCCAACTCACAGAATTCTAGCATTAAACTTGGTTTAACTATACCATCTTTCTCATGAACAGCGCTTCTCTGTTTAAGAAAAGCCCATCTCTGAATTATGCCTACTCACATGAAAAACTGGGAACCATTGGTATGTTTCCCTCGATTAGCCATTGACAAAAGGAACGCTCTGTCATGTTTGAGAATAAAGTTTTCATCTGTTTGAAGAAAACACAAATTCGTCAGTCTCCAGTATAAGCCACTTTTAAAGTGTAATGTTCACAGAAATAAATAGAAAGCAAAGGATGAAATTCCTCTTCTGGTCAGTACAGATACTTGACTGAATATTTAGAAAAAAAGTTTCAACTAACCAAATAACAAAAGCATAAAAAGACCAAAAAATACTACTTAAAGCCGTGAGAAAAAGAACATATATTTAATACTTTATATAAACAGCCTTAGAACAGTCACTTTTAATAGTAACATACTTTGGCTAAATAACATTTAAACTATAACTTTCAGGGAAAACAAAGAAATTTTAGGAAAAAAAATCTCTACTTGGTAAAGCTCATTTCCTCCAAATTGCCTTGCCTAATGTACATGAGAGCTTAATAATCTTATGTACTTAATTTCTATATAGTAAATTTAGCACTCAAATGAGCTGAAGCTAGACTTTGAGAGCAGAAACCAAAAAATTACACACATTAAGTTGTAGAGACATGCCCAAATCAAATTAAGTATGAGGATTCCTTCCCATCAATAGGATCACAAAATTATCTAAGGAAGAAAGTCCTGTAAAAACAACTTAAATGGCAAAACACAATTTTCAGATACACAAGTATTTGCCACAGGGAACAACCACATGAAGGTGGCTGACCAGCATCAGTCTCAAAGCTCCAGGCTAACAGGACCAGCCGCAGAGCTGTTTCTTAATAGTTCAAAGGAAATGCTCTGTCAGAAAAATCACTTAGAGATTATTTTAATTCCAGCAGAAATATCTTGAGAATTTAAATTTCCTTTTAACATTCATACAAACAAATCTTTCTTTAGAACAAACAGAAACATAGAAAACTTTAAAAAATGATTGATTACCTTGGGAACAGGCTTCTGAAAAAGAGTAGTAATCCATTTTCCCCAAAAGAAATATAAAAGACTATTATAACACTGGCGCTATCACGGCATTAACACCTAGTAATATTGGATCCCATTATAAATCTCTGCAACTGACTTTTCTAAGGCTTTCAGGGCAAGTGCAATAGTTAGATTTATGCAAATGCTACTGCTGTAGGAATAATACACAGTCATATAGTTCTAGTAGACAAAAGAAAATATACAAACCTTGGACAAAGAAAGAAATACCAACTTTTGTTCAAAGAAATTGCTTGGTTTAGGGGGAAAAAAAGACACAACTAGATTCTTTTCCCTGATGTGGAAGTAATAACCCATCAGGGAAAGAAAAAAGATACAGATGTATGAAGTAGTATACACAATTTTCCAAGTCTTCAAGCAATACTGAAATCCAGCCACAACCTGACCCAGACTGTCCATAACTTTATGAGGAAGGGTGCAAGGGAACAGAATTGGAGTTTGTGTTACTGAGCTTCGTTCTCTTACCTTTTCATTTTGCAAAAGACCACATTCTCTATAAACAAAAGAATATGTTGACAGTTTTAGGCAGGAAGATAGGAGTTTTCATGTATATAGTTGCCTAACCTCCATGCTGAAGTCATGTTTAACCATAACGTTAGCCTTAATTAATCTTGCCAATTAAAAGTTATATATTACAATATACTTTATCCCCAAGTTCATGCAAATAAGGTATTTTCATGCAGCATTAGTTTCATGCAAAAAGTGAACTAAGAATAAACCTCTTCTCATTAAAAGTACATGATCAAACTTGCTTTAATATCAGAACTGAAACAAGAGACCATAAAATATTAAGGCTTACCTTTAAAATAGCCACCATAAATTGATTCTCCACCTTTTCCATTACCTGCAAATAACAAGCTACATTAAACTATAATGAAAATTTAAAATATATTCATACATATAAATTACTTTTTATGGTTTCAATTTGCTGAAGGAGATTAACACTTTGTAATTATTGCAAATCAAAATTTTAACAAATCTCATCTTTAAAATATAAGTTAACCCTATTACAATAAATACTATTAAAGAGTTATCTTCACAACCCATTTATTTCAAACAGTAATCATACCAATAAAATTCTAGGATAAATACAACTGAATAGCACTTTAGCATTTATCATAAGGTAATTAATTCACCAAGTAATTATATTATTAAAATTGCATAAAAGCAAAATGTCTTAGCGTTTTGTTTTTTCACACATTCTTGGTCTACAACATTCATTCACCCAACAACTGTTCACTGATCACCTAGTATTTACATTATACTGTATGTGACAATATTTACGATTAGATATAATGATTAATAATGACTACTTTAGAAACTGATAGACGAAGTTATTAGGGGCATAACTTTTAGCTCTACCTTCACTGAAGTCCCCACCCTGAATCATAAAGTTTTTAACCACACGATGGAATGTAGAACCTTTATAACATAACTTCTTCCCAGTTGTTTTCCCAAGGCCTTTCTCCCCTAGAAAAAAGGAAAAAAAAATGAAGTTTAGCTATAAAAACATCCTTCCATGAAAAGTGCCATCCCATTTAAACCCTCTGTTAAATCACTCCTGTATGCTGGGCATTGTAAAAGATACAAGGGGTTCACAGTGTGACAACTTCACACACACACACACAAACCAAAGTAAATATACAAAGCAGCATATGTTAAATTGTGTGGTAATCAGAGAGTTGGTGTAAAGATTGTGTACACATGTGGGTATACCCAAGCATGGATTTTAAAAGTAGATATAATTTGCTGTTTCTATTCTTAAGGTAACATTATAGATGCTTTCCTTCCCATTTTTCTACTTTTAAAAAAGATCAGCCCTGGCCAGGTAGCTCACTTAGTTAGAGCATCGTCCCAACATGCCAAGGTTTCTGGTTCGATCTCCAGTCAGGACACACAGATACGGGAATTAACCAATGAATGCATGGATGGGTGGAGGAACAAACCAATGTCTCTCTCCCTCCAGCCCTTTCTCTCTCAAATCAATAAATTTAAAAATTTTTAAAAATATCAAACCAATTTTATATAACAAGGAATAACTTATATATATATTGCCCCTCTACCTTCTAACCTAAATTTCTTGTGAAATCTGGAGTGCTAAATTTGCTTGGAGTGCTGAAACTTCTAAAATTCTACCAAATCAGTTTTGAAATGCTATTTTATAAACTACATTGTCTAGAGATTTCATTATACACAACAATACTCTATTTTTCATTTTTAAGACCATTTATTCTCTCTTCCCTTGAAAAAAATGCTCCCATGATTTGATATTAGTGAAAATAATATTTTATTTGCTAAACTAATTTCACAGCCCATTACTTTTTAAGAAATATGTCTACTCTGTTCAGCAAGGAAAAACTGTAAGCCATGACTTCTCATTAGAATAAATTAATGATTCATTTACCTGAGCAGAGGCAAAGGAAGTTTTTGCATGTTTTTGGACATATGTCTGAGAAGAGCTGAAACATAATGCGACCAACTGAAATAAAACACATAAGAAAAAAGGTAAGCAAGTTGATTATAATATACCACATTTTATATGGGAGGAATAAAACAGATACATAAAATTCACAAACTGGAAAGTCTATTTTAGTAATTCATTTTAATTTTTAAATTAAATGTACTATCAACACATTTTAAATTTGGCTACAGACAAGAAAAAGCCAAGATGAGCCTATGTTATGTTGTAATCCTGATGTGACCACTAGGTGGCAGGAATAAAATCAACAAGTACCCAGGATCTGAATGAAATCAAACATCATCTTTCAATAACATTATTGTTCCTATTTCTCAGAAACAGCTGTGCTGGAATTGCAGGTACAATGGTAAGAAAGAAGACATACATTATGGACATCAAAGGTATGGTAGTTATAAAAATAAAAATGAGCACTGATTGGAAAAAATATTGTAGATGATACACTACAATATCAGGCAAATATCACATATACAATTACAAGGGATAAGGATAAGAACAAAGGAACAGATCATATTGGGTAGGCAGAGAGTAAAATCTAAGAAGACATTAAACAATTAAGCATTTCAACAAAATCAGGCCATTTACTCAAACATTATTTACTAACTAGAAGCCCGGTGCACAAAATTCTTGGACTGGGGGGCTGGGGCAGGGTGGGGTGGCGGAGGTCCCTCAACCCGGCCTGCATCCTCTCGCAGTCCAGGAGCCCTTTGGGGGATGTCCAACTGATGGCTTAGGCCCGCTCCCCATGGTCAGTGCACATCATAGCAAACGGTAGTTCTGCTGTTTGGTCGATTTGCATATTAGCCTTTTATTATATAGGATATCCTCCCCATGCACCAGAATGTCCAACATGACATAGGCTGGAAATGACAGGTGCACACTGCTATACAATGTGCTGAGCCATCAGTGGTATGAACAAGTACACTTATATCCACCCTGGGCCTAGGTGTGTGAGGGAAAAAAAAATGTCTGTTTTACTCACCTCTGTCCCCACTGATTTTGTACAGTACAGTGATGATAATGACAACAAAACCCTTGAAACAAAATTATTCAATGTAGATAATAAGATATAAATGAAGGACTGCCTAAATATACAGATCAAAAGTATTCACTATGTACCAGCAAAAGTTATTATACGTGAAACACCATCAAGACATAGTTTAATAAAATCTCTTTCTTTTCAGAGATATAAGTCCTTCTAGAATCCAGGCAGTAGAATTATGTTACGTACAAAGAAAAAGCGACCACAGTATAAATAAAACCAACAAGAGAGAGTTGAGTTGGTAAGAGAAGGGACATTTCCTCATATTGACTTTGCTAAAGTAGATAAAAGAGGAAATATGGGTTTAGGAAAACTTAAACATGTAATCACATGTAGAATTAAAAACATATGAACTGTCCTTCAAATTACTGTGGTAGAATAACTCACGTAAAAGGAAGTAGTAAGATAACATAAGTAAGATATAAGCTAAGGTAAGAGAAGACCAAAACAGCTCTATAATTATTTAGGCACCTAAAACTTTTCATAACATGTCATTCAACACCCAAGTAAAGTTTTAATGCAAGTACAAGCAGAAATCAATGAAGTAAGAAACAGAAATACATCAGACTTGATAAATAAATCCCAAAGCTGGTTCACTGCAGTTTTGTGCTGAAAATGCCAGTCTTTTTTTCTGTCAATTAACTTTATTTTCAATTACAGTTTACATTCAATATTGTTTTATATTAGTTTCAGATATACAGCACAGTGTTTAGAAAATTACACGTTTTACAAAGTGTACTCCTGGCCGGGTATTTCCAGTACCCACCTGGCACCATACATCGTTGTTACAGTATTACTGACAATATTCCCTATGCTATACTTTACATCTCCACGACTATTTGTAACTACCAATCTGTACTTCTAAATCCTTTCTATTTTTTTGACCCTGAAATGTCAGGGTCTTTGCATTAACTATGTTACCTAAAAAGATCCCTTCCTGTAGCATAATTTAGGTACATAATTCTCCCTATCCCCCTTCATATTAGGTTTTCAATCCGTGCACAGAAAATCTACCCTTCAAAGCATCTCTACTCACACATTACTAATTATCAATCAGGCATCAGCTCTGGCTGGTTCGGCTCAGTGGTTAGAGGGCCAGCCTGTGGACTGAAGGGTCACAGGTTCGATTCCCAGTTAAGGGCACAAACTTCATTTGCAGGCTCGATCCCTGTCAGGATGCAAATGGGAGGCAACCAATCAACGTGTCCCTCTCACATCGATGTTTCTCTTCCCTCGCCCTTTCCTCTCCACTCTCTCAAAAAAAGTCAGTGGAAAAAATATCCTCAGGTGAGGCTTAACTAGAAAATCATTAATAAAGACAACTGCAAAATATTCAAGTACTTGGAAATTAAAACACTAAATCAAATAAAGTATTTTGCATTGAAATAAAATGAGCAATATATCAAAATTTGTGGGGTGTACAAAATATCTGGGGTCCATATAGAGGGAAATTTATAGCATTAAATGCCTACACTAGAATATAAAGGTCTCAAGTCAACAATCCAAGTTTCCACTTTAAGTAGCTAGAAATAGAGCAAAATAAAGTCAAAGCAAGCAGTAGAAAGGAATAAAGAATAGAAATCAATGAAATTGAAAACAGAAAAAAAAGGGGTGGGTTGGGGTGGGGAAATCAATGAAACAAAAATCTGGTTCTTTAAAATGATAATAAGGTTGCCGAAACCGGTTTGGCTCAGTGGATAGAGCGTCGGCCTGCAGACTGAGAGGTCCCAGGTTCGATTCCGGTCAAGGGCATGTACCTGGGTTGCGGCCACACCCCCAGTAGGAGATGTGCAAGAGGCAGCTGATCGATGTTTCTCTCTCATCGATGTTTCTAACTCTCTATCTCTCTCCCTTCCTCTCTGTAAAAAATCAATAAAATATATTTTTAAAAAAATGATAATAAGGTTGATAAACCTCTAGCCAGATGAAACAAGGAAAAAGACAAAAGGCACAAATTATCAATATCAGGAATGAAGGAGGATATATCACTATAGATCCCACAGACATTCAATTAAGGGACTATGTCAAACAACTCTATGCCCACAAAGATAAAATGGACAAACTTTTTAAAAGACACAAACTACCAAAACTCACTCAAGAATAACATGAAAAGTTCCTTAACTATCAAAGAAATGAAAATCTTAGTTTAAAACTTTATGGAAAACATTTCTAAGGAACAATACTAGAATTTCTTCAAGTAGGAACCACCTTATTGGATTCAGAGAAAAACTCATGTAAAAAGCCTTTTCCTCTCACCGGATGGGAGTGGCTCTGGTTGAGTGACAACCTATGAACCAGGAGGTCACAATTCCATTCCCAGTTAGGGTACATGCCAGGGTTGTGGGCTCAATCCCCAGTGGGGGGCATGCAGGAGGCAGCCAATCAATGATTCTCTCTCATCATTGACGTATCTATCTCTCCCTTCCTCTCCCTTCCTCTCTGAAATCAATAAAAATATTTATTTTTAAAAAAGACTTTTCCTCTTTTGATATACACTTGCATTCACCTGGTGGCTTTATGACTTAAAATTCTAATTTGATTGCTATAAAATATACACTTTTCCATTGATAGCAATGAAAAAGCATACTGTGCAGTATTCAACTCAATTTTTATTGGCAATCCACCTCCCTCTCCCAATCCTTCACTCTCTTTCTCTTTCTCTCTTTCCCCTTTCCCCACTCTCTCTCCTTCCCCCTCTAATAAAAATGAAACTTTTATCAATACTTCTTGATCTCATTAAAGTGAACATTATGGCCACTCTTCAAGGATCTTTGCTTAAAGTCCATCAAAGATATTACTTTGCACTTCTATCAAGTGAATTATTAACTATACAAGAAGTCAAGAGTTTCACTTGAATAAGTACTCAGAGACAAATACAATATACTAATGGTTAAATCCCACAAAACAGAATCCATCAAACTGAAGGGGTCCTTAAAAGCTGTGCAAAAATCAAGTACCTACTATTTATATAGATAATTTACTGAGTTGAAAGTGCTAGATAAGTATTACGTGAGATTGGACCAGGTGAAACTGCAGATTACCTATGATTTCAACCTAGAACAATGTAGGCATTCCCTGTTTCATATATAATTCAGTCTTCTCAAGGGTGCTACTCACTTCTCCCAGGGTGGGATTATAATGAATTACCTTGGATGTTGGAGACTGAAGTTCATTCAACATTTACCAAACATATTCCAGACATTTTTCACCACAAAGGTTATTTACAAACCTAGGATATAAACATGTACTGGGAAAGGGGTACTTTACATGACTACAGAACCTTTATTTCTTCTTTTCAGGAGTGTTCTATCTTTAATTCTTTATAAAAACGTTAAGTTCTACTATCTGACGCTTCGATTCACTATAGAATAAGGATTAAGGTCCACCAAGGCTCAAATCTAGTAAGAGCGAATATAACAACATGTCCAAGATAACATCATTCTTTTGCTCAAATCCCTTTAATAATTTCTTATCTTACGGAGTCAAAGTCCTTACTATGGCCTATCGCCATTTCCTGCTACTCTCTGTCCTCCCCAACTTCTCCAGGTCCCTTAAACAGGCAAGTACTTAAAATCCCCTCCTCAGGGCCTTTGCATTAAACTGTCCCTCTACCAGGAATGTTCTTCTCCAAGATGCCATCTCCTCCAGATGTCTGCTTAGTTGTCATCTCCTCAAAATGGACTTTTCGGACCAACTTACTAAAACAGGACTCTTACTGTACAAGTCACTCAATTTTTTTTCCCTCCTGCTTTACTGTCTGTCTTCCCCCAACAGGCTAAAAGCTACACGGAAGAGAGGCCTTTGTTTTATTCACCGCTAGATCCCCACAGTCTGGAACAGTAGGAGGCTCTCAATCTACTGAACAAGAGGGCGCACAGACTGCATCTGTGCCTGCCATTCAAAGTTCTGTTACAGATACTAAGAGGAAAAGAAAAGAAAAGCCAAGAAAACAAGCTTGAAACACTGCTCGCTCTGCTGCTACTCAGAATGAAAGGACCACCCGTTTGAAGAAAATACTTTATTTCCAACAAAATACGCAGACAAAACATGAATGCGTGCTGCCAGTCTGCTGGTACAGAATGCTTTGGTTTAACCAGAGGACTTCCCAGGCCATTTCCCCAGGAACCACAGATTCTGGCTAAAGATACTTGAAGGAATAACAGAGCCCGGCTAACCTATTCCTGGCATTCCAGTATTGGGAAATACAACATGTAGGGGGCCAGACACCACAGCTCACAGCAAGATAACTGACATCGGAACTGGAGGTGTTTGCCACCTAGGAACAGATAAAGGTCCCAAAAGGAGTGCACCCCTTTTCTTGGCGCCAGGCATGAACACTCAGTCTGGGGGTGCAAAGGGGCATGGAGTTTGGGAAGGGGGGCGAGGCCTGGACTCCGAGGAGTGGGAGTGGTGTACCCTCCCCCCCAATCCCCTCCCCAGATTCAGGTTCAGGAGAAACAGAATGTGGACCGCCTACCCGCTCCCAAAAAGGCTCGGGGAGAGTCGACGAGGGTAGACCCCTCCCCTTCCCCGAGATAAGCCCGGGCCCCAGCAGGGCTCCCCCGTGTCCGGCTCACCCGGCTCCCGGTTGATCTCGATGTCAAAGTGGCACTGCGGCCGGTCCTGCGCCCCCATCGCTACCGAGGCGGCGGAAAGAGCTGGGAGAGAGAGGAGGGGAAAGCGGTCAGGTCCCGACAGGTCGGGAGCCGGGGCGGGGGCGGAGCCCGAGCCTCGGTCGCCCCGCACCAGCCTGTCGCGACCGTGCGAGAGGGTGAGACGGCGCCCCTCCCGCCCCAGGCCTCCTGGCTCCCACACGGCACGCACACTCAAGCGGGCAAGCTCTTCACCTGGCTGGCCTCCAGCCTGAGCAGCTCCCCGTGCACAGAGGAGAAAGCGCGGTCACAGCGGCCGAAACCCAACGCCGATAACGGACCACCACCCCCTTCCCCCAGCCCGGCCTCCCAGTGCCACGCTAAACCCCGCGAGAGTCTGGACAAATACCGCGAGAGCGCAGGCTCGGAGAGCGTCTTGACCGGAAAGGACGTGGGCGTGTCCGAGAGCTCTGGAGAAGCCTCCGGTCCGGCGCTCCTATTACTGAGCTGGTCCTTCTTTTTTTTTTGTCCCGCCCCTTTTCTCTACTGGAATCAGTCGCCCAATCTGGGAGCCCTGGACACGCCTGCGCTCTCACCTCCTCTGGTTGCTTGTCAAGGGCTGGGAGCTTCCGCGCATCACCGGATATCGCGAGGTTTCGCTGTTGACAACTTCGAGCCAGTTGTGTGAATTAAGTCCTTGAGGTTTAAGCACACAGAGCTTTTATAGCCTGTTTTCTTTTTTGCATCATATCCTCTGTAATACACAATGCAGCCTCGAGCAGGGATCGCTGCTCCAACCTCGCCCCAAAGTAACGTTTACATTTTTATAACTTAGGGAAGGGGGAAAAAAGGTGAAGGAGAGAGAAGGAATCCCGTGAGAAGGTACAGACACAAGTCTACCTTATTTGCTCATACTATTTTAAAAAGTTTTAAATATATTTTTTACTGGTTTCAGAGAGGAAGAGATAGAAACACCAGTGATAAGAATCATTGATCGGCTCCCACACGGCACGCCCCACACTGGAGGGTGGAGCCATGTCCTAACTGGGAATGGAACCAGCAACCTCTTGGTTCATGGGAATGATGCTCAATCCACCGAGCCACACCAACAGGGCAAGGCTGTTGTCTGTCTTTTTCTTTATTTATTTTAAATATATTTTTATCGATTTCAGAGAGGAAGAGAGAGAAACATCAATGATGAGAAAGTATCATTGATCAGCTAAGGCTACTGTCTTTAGAAAAACCTGCTTACAAGGTTGGTCTTTGAGTGGAATCTGGGAACTTGAACAGTAATCAATTTCCTGCAATTATAGAAACTATTCATTATATGATAAGAGTGCCTCACTATGCCTAAACTGTGTAAACGCTATGACTTTTGCTGAACACCTGCTTTCCTTTTGGGAATCTGGAATTTAGGTATGTGTTAGGCAGATGCTTATGTGACCAGCTTCTAATAAAATATTTTGGGTACTGCCCCACCGTGTGGCTCAGTGGTTGAGGATTGACCTATGAACCAGGAGGTCAGGGTTCAATTCTCAGTCAGGACACATCCCCAGGTTGTGGGTTTGATCCCTAGTGTGGGGAGTGCAGGAGGCAGCTGATCAATAATTATCTCTCATTCTCTTATCATTGATGTTTCTATCTCTCCCTCCATGAAATCAATAAAAAATATGTTTAAAAAATTTTGGGTACTGACTCTGTAATGAACTTCCCTGGTAGGCAGTTCTCACTGGTCACACAGTTCATCCCTGGTTGAAGTAAGCTTGCCCTGTGTCACTCCACTGGGAGGGGAGTTTAAACTTGGTTTCCTGTGGGCTTTGTCCTGTGTCTTTTCCCTTTGCTGAGTTAGCTTTGAATTATTTTGCTAATAAACCAGAACTGTGGTTTATATGCTGTGTTCTGTGAGTCCTCCCAGCCAACCATCAAACTGGAGGGAATCTTGGGACCCATGATGCAGAAACAAATATTACCAGAACTTGGTAACAAAATCTATATATTGAAAATTTGGAAACACACATTGTGAAATCCTAGATTTTTTGTGTGGAAAATTAGTAGACCATTTCATGGGGTAAATAAAAAGGAGTATGTTGCTAAAATGACATCCTCATTATATTAGTCAAGATCAGATTGGCTTTGGCTTTCTCCAGGTGGAACAGGGAACTTGTTATAGTCTGGCAATCTGAAGGGAAAGCATTTTTCCTGCCAGCACCAGTGAGCAAAAGTCCTGGGGACATTCTGGTTGGCTTGATGAGCTTCATACCCCATCTCCTGATGGCCATGGCAATGGGTAGATATCATGATTGATCAGCTTAGGGTAGAACCAGTAACCAGGAGAAAGGAATGGTATGTGGTCACACAGAGATGGCCATTGGGGCAATTAGGTATACACCATAATTGTGGATACAGCATGCATCTTTTAGCCTTTTAGGTGAGTGGCTTTTTTTTTTTTTTTTTTTTTTTTGCCACTGACTTGTTTTAAAGCATGGTTTTGTTTTCATAAATGTCTGCTGCTTCATTCTCTCTAGGAGGGAGTTTGAATCCCATCAAATTTATATGAAAACCCACTACAACAAACACTTGCTGTCAGATAGGATCCTAACTCATTTTTTGTGGAGCCCAGCACAGACCTGGTCAAATGAGGACACGTTATAATTGAATTGATGACCACATATGTGCATACTGCTCTATAAATGGACTGACAAGACAAATAACAGTGTTTGGAATGAAGGGTCCTTGCATAGCTGTTGCTTCTGCCTGCACCACCGGTTCCCCTGATGATCACATATCAGGTTCCTTGTTATTTGTATCTCCTATGAGGGGTGCACTCCCTGTACCCAAAGGAGCATCCTTCTCTCTGAAGACAAGCGACACGGAGCAAACAGGCCTAGCTAAGTTCCCCCCAGTTCACTACACTCAGCTCATACCACCGAGCAGAACTGGCCAGGGTGTTACGTATATTTTTAAGTTCTTACAGTTTTCCTGGAAAACCAAATGGAACACTTATTACATGAAAATGTCTATACCTCCGTATCCGTCTTTTGTGGAAAGACAAGCTTTATTTCCAAGCAACCTGACCAGAGCAGCCAGGGGGTCCAGAACTACCAACTAGTAGAAAGGAGAACACAGTTACATGTTCCACTGGCAGGCTCTTGGTCGGGAGTCTCACCAGTTCCTCCTGATCGCCACGCACCTGCGCAGGTTCCTCTTCAGGCTGAACCTAAGGCAGGCTTGAAGAAGCCCATGACATCTTTGTTGTCTAAACACACCTATTTCAAGAAAGAAAACACCTGGAGGCAACTTGAGGGACTCTGCTTAATTATTAAAATAAATATTTACATGGGAATACAGTTATTTTAGTTCTTCACATTTTCACACTTAAAAGAGACACAGAGATTTCCTTCATGTTTTCAGCAGTGGAGTTGGTAAAGATCCTCCCTGTTTCATAGGAAATGTATTACTTTCGATTACTCCTCACGACAGCCACCTGGAAGATCATTCCATCACTTTGGAAGGACTGGTTGGGTTGGCATCTGCAATGGTAGCCAAATAAATGAGATTTCTGTGTAGCACGTGCTGGTACCTACGGGTGAAAAACAGGCAAAAATTAGTCTTGTTTTTACTGAACATGAACAAACAACTGGAAGAGAATTTACCTCCTCTATGGAAAGGCTCATCCGCTGACTGATGAGTCAGTGTTATTCACCTTCTTGTTTAACACTTTCAAGGAAAATATATCCAGGATCTTACCTGTTCTCACTTATTTCCATAGGCATCTCTCTAGACCATGGTATTGAACCAAACTCCTAAACTGGTCCCTGTGTTCTATCTCTGTACCCCTACTCTATTCTCCACATAAACAGCCTGAGTGATCACTGTACAACTTAAGATCATGTCCTATCTCTGTTTAGTTCTATTCAAAGGCTCCCATCTCATTCTGAGCAAAGCTGAGCCCTTCCCGTGGCCCACAAGGCCCTACAAGATCAGGGCCTCTAGTTGCCTCTCTGATCTCATCTTCTACCACTTTCCCTTTGCTCACTGAGTTCTGGTTACAGCGGCATCCTTGCTGACATTTAAAGACACGGAGCACACTCCAGCCTGGGGGCTTTCCCACCGCATGCTCTGCCTCACATACTGCACAGCTGGCTCCCTTACCTCAGGTATCTCCTCCAATGTCACATCAGAGATACCTGGTGTAACACAGCACCCTGCCTCCCACTTACCCACACTTTATTCTTATTCAAAGAGTTATTAGCATGTGCTTAATTACACGATCTCCTCTGGTTGGGTTGGCATCTGCCATGGTAGCCAAATCAATGAGGTTTCTCTGCGGCACATGCTACAGAAGGTAAGCTCCACGCCTGCAGAGCTACTGCTTTGGTCCTGATGCCCCAGTAGCTAAGACCGTTCCTGGTACTCAGCGGGACTTACACAATACCCGAACAAACTTAAAAGCAGGATGGAATGCCTCCTCGTGTGCTTCCTATCGTAGCGATTCTCAGCCAGGGAGTCGAGCTCCCTACCAAGGAAGAACAGTCAGACTAGGAAGCAGGAGGCATGGCGGGTGCAATGTGAAAAAGCCCACCAGGGACTTGGATAACTTTCCTACCCAGAGGCTGAGAATCACTGCACCAAACGGAATGCTTTGCAACTCTTTCTCATATAAAAAAATGGGAGTGTGTACTATAAACTGCAAAAAAGCAAATGACCAAATGCCAGAGTCAAATGTAAAAACGCATCCAAAGACGGATTATCTCTACTATTCCACTGAGCTGTTCAGTGAAGGATTGTGGGTGATTTTTTTTGTGGGGGGAGGGGGAGAGCATGGCTTTCTTAACTATGACTTCAGTAACAATGAAATAATGTATTTTTCTATAATAAACGGCATAATTCCTGGACTACATTTAGAAAACAGGCTATTTTCTCTCACTAGAGCACATTAAATTACTGTATAAAATTTTCCTCTGGCTTAACTTAGACATCTTTCATTGGTCTTTGTGTGTTAACGTTGCAAAGTTAGAAATGGGAGAGAACTTAGCAACCAAATGGTCAGACCCCACCCAACTGAACAGAAAAAGGGTGAGCCGCCAGGGATCCACGATAAGACAGCCGCGGCCACCCCTTTATTTCCTCTCAGGCTGCCTCTCCTAAACTCTAAGGGTCCCCAAGAGACTTGCGACCACGGGAGCAATGGGCAGTGGCAGCTCACCCCAGGCCAGCCCGGGAATGTGTCTCCGAGGCCCCTTTTCTCTGACTTTCCAGGGAGCCACAGCAGCCCCACCAGGCTCTCTCCTGTAGCTTCCTCCACCCTAAGCCCTTCCTTGTGTCACTGTTCCCGGCTTTCATACACGTACCCTAAAAGGAAAAAGGGAAAGCAGCCGCCAGCATCATCTCCTAAGACCACCTTCCCATGTGCTTCCCTCCCCATCCCCGCTGTCAGCAGCTGGCATGGCTTCGGGTGACGAAGGCTTTGCCATGAGCCTAACTCAGGTTTTGAAGCGGGTGCTACCTCTGACTCCAGGCTTCACAGGGTGCAGTCCCACGGTGCTGGGCAGGCAGGCCACCGCTCCGCTCCTCCCCGGAAGAGCTCGGGACAGCGGCTGTGTCACCACACAGGCTTCCACGCCACTCAAAAGTGAGGGGAGGGCCCTGGCCGGTTTGGCTCAGTGGATAAAGCACCGCCCCGCGGACTGAAGGGTCCACGGGTTCGATTCCGGTCCAGGGCACTTGCCCGGGTTGTGGGCTTGACCCCCAGTAGGGGGCGTGCAGGAGGCAGCCGATCCATGATTCTCTCTCATTCATTGATGTTTCTAACTCTCTCTCTCCCTCTCTGAAATCAATAAAAATATATATGTTTTTTAAAAAAGTAAGGGGAGGGAGCGGGGGACTTACTGGACGCACTCGTTCGCCCGGCCTTTGTTCTGATACTCCACGATACAGCGGATCAGCTGGTCATTCTCCTCCAGGAGCTGCAAGATCAGGGGAGGGGTCAGTGCCACACGACACCACGGCGTGAAGGAACCTACCCGCGGCCTCACAGCCCCCCTGCCAGGCTGTCGGCGCCTCTGCTGACTTGGTTTCCCTCTCACCCCGACCCCAGAGTCCACACCCTGGCGCACGGTGTCGGCGGGGATGCCGCCACCCCGGGAAGCTTCCCGCACCGGCGGCCCTTCCGGTCCTCGGCTGAGAAACCCCTCCCCTTGATCCGCGTTAGCGCTCACCCGCTGGATGGTCTCCTGATTGACTTGCGCCTTGCCTCGCAGCCAGTCCGGTACGAAGGCCACCGACATCCCGGGAAGCCAGGTCGGAACCGGGTCCCAGGCCCCGGAAACCCCCGCGCCGCCAGAGGAGAGCCAACCAGCAGCTCCACACACTCCGCGGCAGGAACCCTGGGAAGGTCGGGGTTAGCTCTCAATGTTGATTGGTCCTCCCGCTTAGAAGGCGGGAACAAGCGGAGCGTCGTCTGTGATTGGACGCGCAAGACTGTCCAGCAGTTGCCGGCGGATCCTTTGCGGTTGCGCAGTCTGGAAAGCGAGCTTGGGGCGGAGCCCGGCAGCAGCGCTGGCTTTTTAACCCTCTGTAGTCTGTAGGCAGGAGCACCGCGCCTGGGTCACTGGAGAATCGGGGCTGGAACCCAGGAAGTTGGCTCGGCCAAGTCCACTCCTCTTCCCACATCAGTCTCGTGCCTCCAGTTTGCACCTGGAGCGGAACCCTGGGCACTGTCTCCTCCCAAGCCAAATCCCCGCAGGGCCAAGGAAAACACTGCTAAGCTTTATGATTTGCGGAGGGACAATACATATATATCCTGTTTGTTCTTTCGGCAATAATAATGCTTTATGAGGTTTACACAAAGCATGAGTACCAGGGGGCAGGGTCCCCTGGAGGTCGACTTGGACTCTATCATTACTCTCTCTCTTGGTTTTTGTGTTTGTTTTTTTTACATTGAACTGCAACCTGTCTACTCAATTGACAACATTGACATCCCAATTAGGAGTCTCAAAGGTGACTCAAATTCAGCTTGTCTAAGGTGGAACTGAGGACCAATCTTCTCTCCAAAATCAGATCTTTCTCCAGTGCTCCCCATATCTACGAGTCCCTCCATCACCCACCCATTCCTTCAAGGCTGAACAGTGGCATCATTCTTGTCACCCTTTCACATCCTTCATCACCACGTCCTGTTGATTTTGCTCATACCCTTCTCTGCACGCTGCCTAGTTCCCTTCCTCATCAGCGTCGCTCTGGTCCAAGCTCCAGCTTCAGCCTCTCTTACCCAGATGACTGCATTGGCTTCCCACCTTGTGTGACCACAGCTTCCATTTGGGTCTTAACGTCAAGCAGCCAAAGTGATTTTTACAAAATGCAAACCTGTTCAGTATCCCACTGCCCTAAACTGTCTACCATGGCCTACAAGATCCTACCTGGTCTTACCTCTTCTAGTCTCCCTAGTGGCTCTCACTTTACTCCTTTACTCTCTAAAGTCAGAATTTCATTTTTCTCTCTCTCTTTTTTTTTGTGGCAACATAGACATAACATAAAACTTACCATCTAACCATGTTGAAATGTACAATTCAGTGGCACTTAGTACATTTACATTGTTGTGCAACTATCACCACCATCGATTTCCACCATATGTCATCTTTCCAACTGAAATTCTGTGCCTATTACATACTAACTCCCCATGTGCTCCCCAACTTCCTGTCATCCCTCAAGGAGTCCCCTTGCCTGGCACACAGAGTCCTTCCTACGGGATCCCGTTCCCTTCTGTCTGAAACGCTCTTTTCCTTTTTGACCTGGTAGCTACTAAGCCAGTGCCACGTTCTCAGAGAGGCATCACCGGACAACAAAGTCCAGGCCAGAAGACGCTGTAAATTCTCATTAAAAAAAAAAAAAAAAAAGCTTGCTCCTCCCTGAAGAGCGCATATCTCAGTTTGTATCTAAACACGTGTGGTGTAATTGCTTGATGGGTGTTCTCACTCTGCCCTCCTCTCTTCGCGTAGTTTTCAGTGTCAGGAGTTCCTCACCGTGGGCGCAGTGCCTGGCATAGTGCTTGGCACACGGCAGGTGCTCAGAACTGTTTGAAAGAATAAATGGGTGAACTCTGCTGCCCAGTCTCCCTGGAGCCCATCTGTGAGAGCCTCCGACCCGGACCGGGGTGTGTCCCTAGACTTTGGCATCTCTTCCAGGCTGGCAGGAGGCTGTGCTCTTTGGTTTGCCTATCTCGGGCCGGCCGCCCAGCCGTGCGGACGTCGGAACCCGCTCCCGGGGCGCGCCGCGCCTTCACGCCGAACCTCCTCGCCTCGGCGCCTCAGTGCTGTTTGCTACTCCGGCAGGAACCGAGCTTGGACCGTGAGGCCTCCTGCCACTTCCCGGCGCGGAAAATACAGGCCTGGACCTCGGACCCTGCGGGTGAGCGCGGGGAAAGGGAAGAGAGTTGGGAGGCGCGCGCCCAGCCACGCCCCCTCTGCCTGTGGGTCGCGGCCCTTTAAGAACCACTTCATTCTTAACCCTGCCGGGAGGGGCGGCAGAGTCACGCCAGGATTGGTCGGTTCGGGTGCGACTGTTGCTTAGCAGCAGCGAATGGAAGTTGAAGACGCGCGCATGCGCACTGTCCCCTACCTGCGCCTGGGCTGCCAGTGACCTGGGCTGGGTCTGCCCTGGGGGCTAAGGTAGCGGACGAGGCGGCGGGTGGCTCGGCGGCGCGGAGGGAGGCTGCTGACTCCCGGAGGCCGCCGTCCGGGAGAGGTGAGGG